TCCCACACTCCCCACACTCGTAGGGCTTCTCCCCAGTGTGGATCCTCTGGTGCTTGATCAGTTCGCAGTTCCACCTGAAGCTCTTCCCACACTCCCCGCACGTGTGGGGCTTCTCCCCATCACGGAGCTGCTCACGGAGCACCAGCTCCGAGCTCTGGCTCCATCTCCGGCCGCCTTCCCGGCCCAGGCCGCCTCTTTCCCCCTCACATCCCCGCCAGCTGCCTTTGCAGCCCCTCCTCGTGCGGCATCTCCGCGCCTTTTCCTCCCCGTTGCCTTCCTGCGCCGTGGAGCCGCTCAAAACGGCCTCTTCCACCAGCTCCTGCCGCGGGCATTTCTCCTCCCTGCTCTCCATGCTCAGCTCCTGCTCTGGGCGAGGAAGGACAAGGACACCATGCGATTTGCCTCCGTGCCACAGCCGAGGGCAACGACATCCCCCCGGGGCGTCCCCGGCAGGACGGCACCGCCACCCCCCGATGTCCCCCCGAGGGGCCTTTTCCGCTCAGCCTTGGACTTCTTCTTCATTCTCCAAACATCCACCCAGAAACCCAACCCAGGGACCCCCCGGGATATCAGGGCCGGGCTCCCCGTCCCTGCTCACCTGCGCGATGCGGGGGGCGATGATCCCACAGGTGGGGACTGCGAATTCAGGCACGGTCGACCGCGTGGATCCGTCCGCTCAGACTTGATCCGCCTTTGTCCCTCCTCTTCCTCTTCCTCCTGCTCCTCCTCTTCCTTCGAACCACCCCCTGCTCCTCCCCCGACCCCGCCTCCTCCTCCCCTTTCATCCCTGCCCTTCCCTCCCTCCTCCTCCTCCCCCAGCAGTAGCCGCGCTCTCCGTGCCCCGTTCCCGCAGCCCTCGCAGCCCGTGGCAGGAGCGCGGATGGAGCCGGGACAGGTCGGGATGGGCAGCGCGGGGCTCTCGGCTGCTCCCAGCCGCTGCGGGAGGGGGGAACCCGGCCCGGGCCAAAGGAGAGGCAAACTGGGCAAACTGGGGGCTGCCCATCCAAACTGGGCCTTGCTGGGGACCCTGCCTGGCCACTGCCAGCCCTTGGGGCTCCTCTCGGCACATCCGCCACGGGGGAACGCACACAGGGCTGGGGCATCCCAGCAGTGGGAGCACTGCCAGGGACTGGGCTGTGCTGGGATCGTACTGGGAGTGACTGGGGCTGTACTGGTTCCGTACTGACATCATACTGGGGTCGCACTGGGAGTGACTGCGGCTGTACTGGCTTTGTTCTGACACCACACTGGGATGACACTGGGATAATAGTGAGATTGTACTGACATCATTCTGAGATCACACTGCCTTCCCAGGGCAGATTGTGATCGCACTCATGGGGGCTGGGATCATACTGGGGTCATACTGGGAGTGGCTACAATCATACTGGGATTAGAGTGGCTGTGATTGGACCCTGACTGGGGGTTACTGGGAGCTACCAGGCCCATGCTGGGAGCCAACTGGGGACTTAATTAGAGGAACTGGGAGCAACTGGGGTAAAAGTGGGGGCAAGTGAACCACGCTGAGGTGACTGGGAGTGCCTGGCAATGACTGCCAGAATGTTCAGGGCAACTGGGATATACTCGGAGGGTCGGAGACCATGCAGGTGGTGATTGGGAGAAAACTGGGACGTACTGGGAAGGGGTTGGGGGAACTGGGAACACGCTGGGGGCAAGTGGGAGTGACTGGGCCATTGCTGGGAGAGACTGGAATCACACTGGGAGTGCCTAGGACTATGCTAGGGACAACTGGGAGAACGGAGAACACACTGGATGAAAGTGGGAGCAACTGGGACCATGCTGGGAGACAATTGCATCATCATGGGGAAGCACTGGGAGGGACTGACCTCGTCTGGGAGTGACTGGGATCAGGCAGGGAGGCAGGGGAAGTGACCAGGATGATACTGGGAGTGCACAGGCCCATACTGGGAATGACCAGGCTATTGCTGGGATTGCCCAGGAAACTGGAAGCACACGGGGGAGCAACTGGGCTCATACTGGCAGCAGCCACTGCACACCCCGGATGTCCCCCCGAGGGCCATTTGCGGCTCGGCTTTGGAGCCCTGCCAGCTGCAAACATCCCCCTAAAACAAACCCCAAAGCCAGGCACCCCCCGGGATATTTGGGCCGAGCTACAAATCCCTGGGCGCTTGCGGGATGTGGGGCGATGCTTCTGAGGCTGTGGCACTTTGAGGGAGCGCCAGGGGCACGAGATGCTTCCTCTCCTCTTCTGCTGTGGCAGCTGCTCGGCCTCTTCCTCCCTCCCTCCTCCTCCTCCCCCGATCGCGATGGCCGAACCGTGAGGGGAAAGGGGGCGGGGAAAGGGCGGGAACCGTGAGGGGAAAGGGGGCAGGGAAAGGGCGGGAACCGTGAGGGGAAAGGGGGCGGGGAAAGGGCGGAACCGTGAGGGGAAAGGGGCGGGCTCAGACCAAGGGCGGCAACTGTGAGGGGACACTCTGGGAGGCGGCACTCTGCGAACAGAACTGCAACGGACTGAACATGAACGGAAGAGAAATCAGTAAGTCTGAAAGTTTAATTTCGTAATAATACATCCCGCACAACCAGCCCCACACAATCCCCATCCCACCACCCTAACTGAGATCCCACTTCTCCCAGTCTCCTTCCAAACCCATCTTATTCAGGTCGCTGAGGAATCGAGTGAGTTTTCCATGACATTGACTTTTTTTGAGGTGCGATTGTGCAGTTTTGGGGTAAGATTGAGCTGTTTTCAATGGGATTTGAGTGGTTTTGAGGGGACAGATCCATCCCTCGTGGATTTTGGAGTGCAAAGAGACGGAGAAGAGAGAAACATTAAGGCCAAACCAAAAGTAGAAGCTTCGAGGTGTGTTCCCAGCATGGATCACAGGGAATGTGAGTGACCAGGGCTGTGCCCAAAGTGCCTCCTCCAGTGGGGGATGGAGCTGGAGCAGCGCACGAAGCTCTGCCCGCAGTCGAGGCACTCACAGGGCTTCACTCACCGGTGCCTACGTTTGTGTCTACTCAAGTGAGAGCTGCAGTAGAAACTCTTCCTGCACTGGCGGCACTCGTAGGGCCTCTCCCCAGTGTGGATGCGCTGGTGGGTAACAAGGGTGGAGTTGTACTTGAATCCCTTCCCACAGTCGGGGCAGCGGAAGGGCCTCTCCTCTGTGTGAATCCGATAGTGGCAGAGGAGCTGATAGCTGGTCCGAAACCTCTTCCTGCATTTATCACACTCGTAGGGCCTCTCCCCAGTGTGGATGCGCTGGTGGGTGATGAGGTGGGACTTCTTCTTGTATCCCTTCCCACACTCAGGGCATTGGAAGGGCCTCTCCTCTCTGTGAATCCAATAGTGCTTGAGGAGATCAGAGCTGCTCTGAAACGCCTTCCCACACAGGGAACACTTGTAGGGCCTCTCCCCAGTGTGAGTCATCTGGTGCCTGATCAGGCTGGCCCTCTGGCTGAAGCTCTTCCCACACTCCCCACACACATAGGGCCTCTCCCCAGTGTGAATCCTCTGGTGCCTGATCAGTTCGGAGTTCCACCTGAAGCTCTTCCCACACTCCCCGCACGTGTGGGGCTTCTCCCCATCACGGAGCTGCTCACGGAGCACCAGCTCCGAGCTCTGGCTCCATCTCCGGCCGCCTTCCCGGCCCAGGCCGCCTCTTTCCCCCTCACATCCCCGCCAGCTGCCTTTGCAGCCCCTCCTCGTGCGGCATCTCCGCGCCTTTTCCTCCCCGTTGCCTCCCTGCGCCGTGGAGCCGCTCAAAACGGCCTCTTCCACCAGCTCCTGCCGCGGGCATTTCTCCTCCCTGCTCTCCATGCTCAGCTCCTGCTCTGGGCGAGGAAGGACAAGGACACCATGCGATTTGCCTCCGTGCCACAGCCGAGGGCAACGACATCCCCCCAGGGCGGCCCCGGCAGGACGGCACCGCCACCCCCCGATGTCCCCCCGAGGGGCCTTTTCCGCTCAGCCTTGGACTTCTTCATTCTCCAAACATCCACCCAAAAACCCAACCCAGGGACCCCCCGGGATATCAGGGCCGGGCTCCCCCTCCCTGCTCACCTGCGCGATGCGGGGGGCGATGATCCCACAGGTGGGGGCTGCGAATTCAGGCAGGGTCGACCGCGTGGATCCGTCCGCTCAGGCTTGATCCGCCTTTGTCCCTCCTCTTCCTCCCGCTCCTCCTCTTCCTTTCCCCCTCCCGCTCCTCAGCGTTATCTCCGCCTCCTTCTCTCATTCCATGCCGCCTCTTCCATCCCTTCTCCTCCTCCGGCTTCCTAACCCCACCTCCTTCGCCTCCTTCCATCGCTGCTCTCTCTCCGCCTTCATCCCTCCTCTTCCATCTCCCCTAGCCCTGCTCCTTTCCCCTAACCGGCTGGAACCGTGAGGGGAAAGGGGGCAGGGAAAGGGCGGGAACCGTGAGGGGAAAGGGGGCAGGGAAAGGGCGGGCTCAGGCCAAGGGCGGCAACTGTGAGGGGACGCTCTGGGAGGCCGCACTCTGCAAACAGAACTGCAACCGACTGAACATGAACGGGACAGAAATCAATAAGTCTGAAAGTTTTATTTGCTGTCAAATACATCTCACACAGCCAGCCCGACACACTCCCCATCCCACTCTCCAAACTGGGATCGCACTTCGCCGAATCTTCTTCCACCTCTATCTCACTCTGGTGGGTGTGGAATCATGTGAGTCTGGTGTGGGATTGAGGTTTTTTGAGGTGGGTTTGCGCACTTTTAGGGTAAGACTGAGCTTTTTTCACTGGATTGTCAGTGGTTTTGATGTGACAGATGTAACGAAATTGCCTTTTGGAATTCAAAGAGATTGACAAGTGAAAGAAATTAAGGAGAAACCAAAAGTAGAAGCTGCCAGGTGTGTTCCCAACATGGATCACAAGGAATGTTAGCGACAAGGGCTTTGCCCAAAGTGCCTCCTCCAGTGGGGGATGGAGCTGGAGCAGCGCACAAAGCTCTGCCTGCACTCAGGGCACTCGCAGGGCTTCCCTTACCAGTGCCTACATTGGTGTTGGGTCAAGTGAGAGCGTCTGGAGAAGCTCTTCCCACACTGGGGACACTCGTAGGGCTTCTCCCCAGTGTGGATGCGCCGGTGGGTGACGAGGTTGGAGTTCTGCTTGAATCCCTTCCCACAGTCGGGGCAGCGGAAGGGCCTCTCCTCTGAGTGAATCCGATAGTGCAGGAGGAGTTCAGAGCTGGTCCGAAACCTCTTCCTGCATTTATCACACTCGTAGGGCCTCTCCCCTGTGTGGATGCGCCGGTGGGTGACGAGGTAGCTGTTGCGCTTGAATCCCTTCCCACAGTCGGGGCAGCGGAAGGGCCTCTCCTCTCTGTGAATCTGATAGTGCAGGACGAGATGGCCGCTGGTCCGAAACCTCTTCCTGCATTTATCACACTCGTAGGGCCTCTCCCCTGTGTGGATGCGCTGGTGGATGATGAGGTGGGACTTCTGCCTGAATCCCTTCCCACACTCAGGGCATTGGAAGGGTCTCTCCTCTGTGTGACTCTGGTAGTGGCGGAGGAGATTAGAGCTGTTCGGAAACCTCTTCCCACACTTGGAACACTCGAAAGCCCTCTCCCCAGTGTGGCTCCTCTGGTGCTTGTTGAGGGCGGAGCTCTGGCTGTAGCGCATCCCACACACAGAACACTCGTAGGGCCTTTCCCCAGTGTGGATCCTCCGGTGCTCGAGCAGGTGGGAGCTCCGAATGAAACACCTCCCACATTGCCCACACTCATAGGGCCTCTCCCCAGTGTGGATCCTCTGGTGGTTGATCAGGGCCGACCTCCATCTGAAGCTCTGACCACACTCCACACACTCGTGAGGCTTCTCCCCAGTGTGGATCCTCTGGTGATTGATCAGGTAACAGTTCGTTGTGAAGCTCTTCCCACACTCCCCACACGTGTGGGGCTTCTCCCCATCACGGAGCTGCTCACGGAGCACCAGCTCCGAGCTCTGGCTCCATCTCCGGCCGCCTTCCCGGCCCAGGCCGCCTCTTTCCCCCTCACATCCCCGCCAGCTGCCTTTGCAGCCCCTCCTCGTGCGGCATCTCCGCGCCTTTTCCTCCCCGTTGCCTCCCTGCGCCGTGGAGCCGCTCAAAACGGCCTCTTCCACCAGCTCCTGCCGCGGGCATTTCTCCTCCCTGCTCTCCATGCTCAGCTCCTGCTCTGGGCGAGGAAGGACAAGGACACCATGCGATTTGCCTCCGTGCCACAGCCGAGGGCAACGAGATCCCCCCAGGGCGGCCCCGGCAGGACGGCACCGCCACCCCCCGATATCCCCCGAGGGGCCTTTTCCGCACAGCCTTGGACTTCTTCATTCTCCAAACATCCCCCCAAAAACCCAACCCAGGGACCCCCCGGGATATCAGGGCCGGGCTCCCCCTCCCTGCTCACCGGCGCGATGCGGGGGGCGATGATTCCACAGGTGGGGGCTGCCAATTCAGTCTGGTCGACCGCGTGGATCCGTCCGCTCAGCCTTGATCCGCCTTTGTCCCTCCTCTTCCTCTTCCTCCCGCTCCTCCTCATCTATCACCCCCTCCCGCTCCCCAGGGTTATCTCCGCCTTCTTCTCCCATTCCATCCCGCCCCTTCCATCCCTTCTCCTCCTCCTGCTCTCTAACCCCACCTCCTTCCATCGCTGCTCTCTCTCCGCCTTCATCCCTCCCCTTCCATCTCCCCTAGCCCTGCTCCTCTCCCCAAACCGGCTGGAACCGTGAGGGGAAAAGAGGCAGGGAAATGGCGGAACCGTGGGGGGAAAAGGGGCAGGGAAATGGCGGAACCGTGAGGGGAAAGGGCGGGAACCGTGAGGGGAAAGGGGGCCGGGAAAGGGCGGGAACCGTGAGGGGAAAGGGGGCAGGGGAAGGGCGGGAACCGTGAGGGGAAAGGGGCGGGCTCAGGCCAAGGGCGGCAACTCTGAGGGGACGCTCTGGGAGGCGGCACTCTGCGAACAGAACTGCAACGGACTGAACATGAACGGGAGAAAAATTAGTAAGTCTGAGAGTTTTATTTCGTATCAAATCCACCCCACACAATACCGATCCCAGCACTCAAAATTGAGATCCCACTTCTCCCAATCTCTTCTTAACCCCATCTCAGCCATGTCAGTGGCTGTGGAATCAGGTGAATTTGTGAAGAGGTAGCGTTTTTTAATGTGAGAGAAAGCCCCTTTGATGTGGACCTGAGTCCTTTTCGCATAAGACTGAGCTGATTTCATTGGATTTGAGTAGATTTGTTGTCACAGGTACATCCCTTTTCACTGCTGGACTGCACAGAGAGGGAGAAAAGGAAAAAATTAACGCCAACCCAAATGTTGAAGCACCGAGTTGTGTTCCCAGCAGTATCACAGGGAATGTGAGTGACCAGGGCTGTGCCCAAAGTGCCTCCTCCAGTGGGGGATGAAGCTGGAGCAGCGCAAAAGCTCTTCCCGCACTCAGGGCTCTCACAGGGCTTCCCTTAGTGGTGCCTCCGTTGGTGTCTAGTCAAGGTAGAGATCTGTGAGAAGCTCTTCCCACACTGGGGACACTCGTAGGGCCTCTCCCCAGTGTGGATGCGCCGGTGGGTGACGAGGGTGGAGTTCTGCTTGAATCCTTTCCCACAGTCGGGGCAGCGGAAGGGCCTCTCCTCTGTATGAATCCGATAGTGCACGAGGAGTTCAGAGCTGGTCCGAAACCTCTTCCTGCATTTATCACACTCGTAGGGCCTCTTCCCTGTGTGGATGCGCCGGTGCGTGATGAGGTGGGACTTCTGCCTGTATCCCTTCCCACACTCAGGGCATTGGAAGGGCCTCTCATCTGTGTGACTCTGATAGTGGCGGAAGAGATCGGATCTGGTCAAAAACCTCTTGCCACACACGGAACACTTGAAGGGCCTCTCTCCAGTGTGGGCCCTCTGGTGCTTGATGAGATAGCTGCGCTGGCTGAAGCTCTTCCCACATTCCCCACACTCATAGGGCTTCTCCCGAGTGTGGGTCCTCTGGTGCTTGATCAGGCTGGAGCTCTGGCTGAAGCTCTTCCCACACTCCCCACACTCGTAGGGCTTCTCCCCACTGTGGATCCTCTGGTGTTCGATCAGTCCGCAGTTCCACCTGAAGCTCTTCCCACACTCCCCGCACGTGTGGGGCTTCTCCCCATCACGGAGCTGCTCACGGAGCACCAGCTCCGAGCTCTGGCTCCATCTCCGGCCGCCTTCCCGGCCCACGCCGCCTCTTTCCCCCTCACATCCCCGCCAGCTGCCTTTGCAGCCCCTCCTCGTGCGGCATCTCCGCGCCTTTTCCTCCCCGTTGCCTTCCTGCGCCGTGGAGCCGCTCAAAACGGCCTCTTCCACCAGCTCCTGCCGCGGGCATTTCTCCTCCCTGCTCTCCATGCTCAGCTCCTGCTCTGGGCGAGGAAGGACAAGGACACCATGCGATTTGCCTCCGTGCCACAGCCGAGGGCAACGAGATCCCCCCAGGGCGTCCCCGGCAGGACGGCACCGCCACCCCCCGATGTCCCCCCGAGGGGCCTTTTCCGCTCAGCCTTGGACTTCTTCATTCTCCAAACATCCACCCAGAAACCCAACCCAGGGACCCCCCGGGATATCAGGGCCGGGCTCCCCGTCCCAACTCACCGGCGTGATGCGGGGGGCGATGATCCCACAGGTGGGTCTGCCAATTCAGTCTGGCCGACCGCGTGGATGCGTCCGCTCAGCCTTGATCCGCCTTTGTCCCTCCTCTTCCTCTTCCTCCCACTCCTCCTTTTCCATCCCCCCTCCCGCTCCTCAGCGTTATCTCCGCCTCCTTCTCCTCTTCCATCCCGCCCCTTCCATCCCTTCTCCTGCTCCTGCTCCCTACCCCCACCTTCTTCCCCTCCTTCCACCGCTGCTCTCCCTCCACCTTCATCTGTCCCGTTCCATCTCCCCTAGCCCTGCTCCTCTCCCCTAACCGGCTGGAACCGTGAGGGGAAAGGGGGCGGGGAAAGGGCGGGAACCGTGAGGGGAAAGGGGCAGGGAAATGGCGGAACCGTGAGGGGAAAGGGGCGGGCTCAGGCCAAGGGCGGGAACTGTGCGGGCACACTCTGGGAGGCGGCAGTCTGCGAACAGAACTGCAACACACTGAACATGAACGGGACAGAAATCTGTAACTCTGAGAGTTTTTTTTTGCTATCAAATACATCCCACACACCCAGCCCCACACAATCCCCACTGTCGATGGAAGGAGACCCGGACACCAATTGGTTCATCGCAGGTCCGATTTATTGATTGATACAGCGGGTAAAATACAGTTCATAATAAGCTTCATACATATTGCAAAAGCTGAGCTCAGGATTGGTTAGTTACATATCAGCAACTACGCCTACTTCTGCATTTTTGTGGTTATTCTTTTGATACTTTCTGCATATTTTCAGCAAGAACCTCTCTTCCCTATCCTCATGTTGCGGCAAGGGCATCATGTCCTCGCCTGTCATTGGTCACTGACTGCTGACTTCCCTTTCAAGGCATTATGTCAACATGGCCTTTCTCAGCCCATCAACTGTTAACAAAAGTCTTCACACCGCACCCCACCACTCTAATTGAGATCCCACTACTCTAAATCACCTCCCAACCCCATCTCAGCCTGGCGGCTGTAGAATCGAGGAAACTTTGTATGGCATGGAGTTTTTCTCAGGAGGGATTGAGCATTCTGGGGTAAGACTGAGATGTTTTCACTGGGATTTGAGTAATTTTGCAGTCAAAGATTCATCTCTTTTGGCTTTTGGAGTGCAAAGACATGGAGAACAGAAAAAAATTAAGGTGATATTAAAAGGAGAAGTAGCCAGGTGTGTTGCCAACATGGATCACAGGGAATGTGAGTGACCAGGGCTGTGCCCAAAGTGCCTCCTCCACTGGGGGATGGAGCTGGAGCAGCGCACGAAGCTCTGCCCGCACTCGGGGCACTCGCAGGGCTTCCCTCACCGGTGCCGCCGTTGGTGTTGGGTCAAGTTAGAGCCCTGTGAGAAGCTCTTCCCACACTGGGGACACTCGTAGGGCCTCTCCCCTGTGTGGATGCGCCGGTGGGTGATGAGGGTGGAGTTCTGCTTGAATCCCTTCCCACAGTCGAGGCAGCGGAAGGGCCTCTCCTCTGAGTGAATCCGATAGTGCTGGAGGAGATCAGAGCTGGTCCGAAACCTCTTCCTGCATTTATCACACTCGTAGGGCCTCTCCCCAGTGTGGATGCGCCGGTGCCTGATGAGGTGGGAGTTGTGCCTGTATCCCTTCCCACACTCAGGGCATTGGAAGGGCCACTCATCTGTGTGACTCTGATAGTGGCGGAAGAGATCGGATCTGGTCAAAAACCTCTTGCCACACACGGAACACTTGAAGGGCCTCTCTCCAGTGTGGGCCCTCTGGTGCTTGATGAGATAGATGCGCTGGCTGAAGCTCTTCCCACATTCCCCACACTCATAGGGCTTCTCCCGAGTGTGGGTCCTCTGGTGCTTGATCAGGCTGGAGCTCTGCCTGAAGCTCTTCCCACACTCCCCACACTCGTAGGGCCTCTCCCCAGTGTGAATCCTCTGGTGTTTGATCAGTTCGCAGTTCCACCTGAAGCTCTTCCCACACTCCCCACACTCGTAGGGCTTCTCCCCACTGTGGATCCTCTTGTGCTTGCTCATGCTGGAGCTGCTTCTGAAGCTCTTCCCACACTCCCCGCACGTGTGGGGCTTCTCCCCATCACGGAGCTGCTCACGGAGCACCAGCTCCGAGCTCTGGCTCCATCTCCGGCCGCCTTCCCGGCCCAGGCCGCCTCTTTCCCCCTCACATCCCCGCCAGCTGCCTTTGCAGCCCCTCCTCGTGCGGCATCTCCGCGCCTTTTCCTCCCCGTTGCCTCCCTGCGCCGTGGAGCCGCTCAAAACGGCCTCTTCCACCAGCTCCTGCTGCGGGCATTTCTCCTCCCTGCTCTCCATGCTCAGCTCCGGCTCTGGGGGAGGAAGGACAAGGAAACCATGCGATTTGCCTCCGTGCCAAAGCCGAGGGCAACGAGATCCCCCCAGGGCGTCCCGGGCAGGACGGCACCGCCACCCCCCGATGTCCCCCCGAGGGGCCTTTTCCGCTCAGCCTTGGACTTCTTCATTCTCCAAACATCCCCCAAAAACCCAACCCAGGGACCCCCCGGGATATCAGGGCCGGGCTCCCCCTCCCTGCTCACCGGCGCGATGCGGGGTCGATGATCCCACAGGTGGGGGCTGCGAATTCATGCAGGGTCGACCGCGTGAATCCGTCCGCTCAGCCTTGATCCGCCTTTGTCCCTCCTCTTCCTCTTCCTCCCGCTCCTCCTTTTCCATTCCCCCCTCCCGCTCCCCAGCGTTATCTCCGCCTACTTCTCCTCTTCCATCCCGCCCCTTTCATCCCTTCTCCTCCTCCTGCTCTCTAACCCCACCTTCTTCCCCTCCTTCCATCGCTGCTTTCTCTCCGCCTTCATCCCTCCTCTTCCATCTCCCCTAGCCCTGCTCCTCTCCCCAAACCGGCTGGAACCGTGAGGGGAAAGGGGGCAGGGAAAGGGCGGGAACCGTGAGGGGAAAGGGGCGGGCTCAGGCCAAGGGCGGCAACTGTGAGGGGGCGCTCTGGGAGGCGGCACTCTGCAAACAGAACGGAACCGGCTGAACATGAACGGGAGAGAAAATTGTATGTCTCAGAGTTTTATTTGCTGTCAAATACATCATGCTCAGCCAGCCCACAACAATCCACATCCATGAGGTTGTGCAGCGCACGAAGCTCTGCCCGCACTCGGGGCACGCGTTGGTCTTCCTTCACTGATGCCTTCGTTGGTGTCGGGTCAAATTAGAGCTCTGTGAGAAGGTCTTCCCACACAGGGGACACTCGTAGGGCTTCTCCCCAGTGTGGATGCGCCGGTGTTTGATGAGGGTGCAATTGTGCCTGAATTCCTTCCCACACTCAGGGCATTGGAATGGCCTCTCGTCTGTGTGACACTGAAAGTGACGGAGGAGAGAGAAGCTGGTCTGAAACCTCTTCCCACACACGGAACACTCGAAGGCCCGTTCCCCGGTGTGGATCACCTGATGCTGGATTAGGTGGCAGCTCCGGGTGAAGCTCTGCCCGCACTCCCTACAGATATAGGGCCGTTCCCCAGTGTGGCTCCTCTGGTGGTTGATCAAGTCGCAGTTCCACCTGAAGCTCTTCCCACACTCCGCACACTCAAAGGGTCTCTCCCCAGTGTGGCTCCTCTTGTGGCTGATGAGGTCGCAGTTCCACCTGAAGCTCTTCCCACACTCCCCACACTCGTAGGGCTTCTCCCCACTGTGGATCCTCTGGTGCTTGCTCATGCTGGAGCTGCTTCTGAAGCTCTTCCCACACTCCCCGCACGTGTGGGGCTTCTCCCCATCACGGAGCTGCTCACGGAGCACCAGCTCCGAGCTCTGGCTCCATCTCCGGCCGCCTTCCCGGCCCAGGCCGCCTCTTTCCCCCTCACATCCCCGCCAGCTGCCTTTGCAGCCCCTCCTCGTGCGGCATCTCCGCGCCTTTTCCTCCCCGTTGCCTTCCTGCGCCGTGGAGCCGCTCAAAACGGCCTCTTCCACCAGCTCCTGCCGCGGGCATTTCTCCTCCCTGCTCTCCATGCTCAGCTCCTGCTCTGGGCGAGGAAGGACAAGGACACCATGCGATTTGCCTCCGTGCCACAGCCGAGGGCAACGACATCCCCCCAGGGCGTCCCCGGCAGGACGGCACCGCCACCCCCCGAGGTCCCCCCGAGGGGCCTTTTCCGCTCAGCCTTGGACTTCTTCATTCTCCAAACATCCCCCAAAAACCCAACCCAGGGACCCCCCGGGATATCAGGGCTGGGATTCCCCTCTCTCCTCACCGGCCCGATGGGGCGGGGGGCGATGATCCCACAGGTGGGGGCTGCGAATTCGGCAGGGCTCCGGACCGTGGATCCGTCCGCTCAGCCTTGATCCGCCTTTGTCCCTCCTCTTCCTCTTCCTCCCGCTCCTCCTCTTCCATCGCCTCTCCTCCTCCTTTTCCCTTACCGCACATCCCTCTCCTCTTCCATCCCTCCTCCTCCATGCCTCCTCCCCCTCCTCTCTTTCCCCACCTCATTCTCCTCTTTTCCCCCTCCCTTTCCCTCCCTTCTTCTCCTCCTCCTCCCTGACCCTCCCTCCTTCTCCTTCTTTATCGCTCCCCTTTTATCCCTTCTTCTCCTCCTGTTCCTCCCTAACCCCTCCTCCTCCTCTTTTTTCCAACCCTTCTCGGTCTCCGTTATCCCTCCTCCTCCATGCCGTGCCTGTTTTTCCAGTCCTGGTCCCAGTTTGATGGGATCCCCGTCCATAGAATCTCAAACCAGTTTATCCCAGTGTGTGTGGCCCGGATCCATATGGGGCCAGTCTGTAGGATCCCAATCCAGGTTATCCCAGTCTGTAGGATCCCAGTCCAGGTTATCCCAGTCTGTACGATCCCATTCCGTAGGATCCCAGTTCACGGGGTTCCAGTTTATACACTCCCAGTCCCTGTTTGGTCCCATTCCAGTTTATCCCAGTCCAGTTCATCCCTTTCCATAGGACGCCAGTCCAGGCTATCCCGGTCCAGTTTATACCAGTCCATAGCATCCCAGTCCATATGATCCCAATTCCATATAATCCCAGTCCAGTTTATCCCAGTCCATATGATCCTAATTCCATATAATCCCAGTCCAGTTTATCCCAGTCCATATGATCCCACTTCCATGTAATCCCAGACCAGTTTATCCCAGTCCATGGGATCCCAGTTCCATATAATCCCAGTCCAGTTTATCCCAGTCCATGGGATCCCAGTCCCATATAATCCCAGACCATAGGATCCCAGTTCCATATAATCCCAGACCAGTTTATCCCAGTCCATGGGATCCCAGTTCCATATAATCCCAGACCAGTTTATCCCAGTCCATGGGATCCCAGTTCCATATAATCCCAGTCCAGTTTATCCCAGTCCATGGGATCCCAGTTCCATATAATCCCAGACCAGTTTATCCCAGTCCATGGGATCCCAGTTCCATATAATCCCAGTCCAGTTTATCCCAGTCCATGGGATCCCAGTTCCATATAATCCCAGACCAGTTTATCCCAGTCCATGGGATCCCAGTTCCATATAATCCCAGTCCAGTTTATCCCAGTCCATGGGATCCCAGTTCCATATAATCCCAGACCATAGGATCCCAGTTCCATATAATCCCAGTCCAGTTTATCCCAGTCCATGGGATCCCAGTCTGTCAGGCATTGTGGAGAACTGGGATAACTGGGATAAGGGGAGAACTGGGATAATGGGGGGAACTGGGATAATGGGGGGAACTGGGATAACTGGGAGAGTGTGGAACTGGGATAACTGGGATAACTGGGATTATGGGGAAGTGGGATAATGGGGGGGAACTGGGGTAATGGGGGAACTGGGATAACTGGGATAATGAGAAGAGGGGGTTAATGAGGATACTGGGATAATGGGGGAAGTGGGATAACTGGGATTATGGGGAAACCGGAATAATAGGAAAACTGGGATAATGAGGAGAATGCGGTAATGGGGAACTGGAATAAGTGGGAGAGGGGCATAATGGGGAGAACTGGGATAACTGGGACAGTGGGGGGAACTGCAATAACTGGGATTATGGGGAAACTGGGAAAACTGGGATAATGGGGAAGTGGGAGAATCGGTTGGAAACTGGGATAATGGGGAAACTGGGATAACTGGGATAATGAGGAGAGTGGGTTAATGAGGGTACTGGGATTAGTCTGAGATTTTTTGGTGATTTTTTTGGGGAATTTTGGGGTATTTTTTGGGATTTTTTTGGAATTTTTGGGGGATTTTTTTGCGAAATGTGGGAATTTTTGGGGGAATTTGTGTTAATTTTTGGGGGGAATTTTTGATAATTTTTGGGGAATTTTTGATAATTTTTGGGGAATTTTTGGGGGGGATTTTTGTGAATTTTTGGGGGAATTTTGGGGGGGGGGAGGGGGCGTGTCCCGGTGCCGGGGCGCGGCGGGGGGGGAGGGGCGCGGTGGGGTGGGGGAGGGGCTCGGGCGGCCTCGCGCGCTCCGGGCGGGAGCGGCGGCGGCGGCGGCGGCAGCGACCCCTCCCCCACACCCCCCATCCCCAACCCCCCAAAAATCGGGGACCCCCCCCCCCAAACCCCTCCCCCACCCCAGACCCCTCCCCCATCCCCGCAGCGTTCCCAGCATTCCCGGAATTCCCAGAATCCCCCGCGACCCCGGCAGGTGATGGGGATGCGGGCTGGGGGTGGGGGAGGGGCCCGGGGGGGATTTTGGGGAATTATTTGGGGGGGATTTGGGGAGGGGGGGGAGGGGTGGGGGATGGGGGAGGGGGTGGGGGATGGGAGGGGTAACTCAAGGTCATGGCAGGGAGGGGCCGGGCCTGGGGGGGGAGGGGGATTTGGGGGATTTGGGGGGATTTGGGGGGGATTTTGGGGATTTTGGATTTTGAGGGGGGGAATTGGGGGATTTTTTTGGGGATTTTAGGGGAATTTTGGCGAAATTCGGGGTAATTTGAGGGGATTTAGGGGGGATTTGGGGAATTTTTGGTAATTTTAAGGGACTTTAGGGGAATTTTAGGGGATTTAGGAGGGATTTTAGGGGAAATTTGGGGAAATTCGGGGTAATTCTGGGGGATTTTAGGGGGGATTTTGGGAAATTTAGGGGGAATTTTAGGGGATTTTAGGGGGGATTTTGGGAATTTTAGGGGATTTAGGGGGGATTTTAGGGGAATTTTGGGGAAATTCGGGGTAATTTTAGGGATTTAGGGAATTTTTGGGAATTTTAGGGGATTTTAGGGGAATTTTAGGGGATTTAGGAAGGGTTTTAGGGGAAATTTGGGATTTTTTGAGAATTCAAGGGGGGATTTGAGGGGATTTTGGGGATTTTTTTGGGGATTTTAGGAGAATTTTAGTGAAATTCGGGGTAATTTGAGGGGATTTAGGGGGGATTTGGGGAATTTTTGGTAATTTTCGGGGATTTCAGGGGAATTTTAGGGGATTTAGGGGGATTTTGAGAAATTTGGGGGGAATTTTAGGGGATTTTAGGGGAGATTTGGGGGCGAATTTTGGGGTAATTTTCGGGGTAATTTTGGGGCATTTTATGGGGATTTTGGGAATTTAGGGGGAATTTTAGGGGATGTTAGGGAAATTTGGGGGGGTTTTAGGGGATTTAGGAGGGATTTTAGGAGAATTTTGGGGGAATTTTGTGGATTTTAGGGGAATATTAGGGGGGATTTTGGGGGAATTTTGGGTAAATTCGGGGTAATTTGAGGGGATTTAGGGGGGATTTGGGGAATTTTTGGTAATTTTACGGGATTTTAGGGGGGATTTTAGGGGAAATTTTGGGAAATTTGGGGGGAATTTTAGGGGATTTTAGGGGAGATTTGGGGGCAAATTTTGGGGCAATTTTCGGGGTAATTTTGGGGGATTTTAGGGCGGATTTTGGGAAAATTTGGGGTAATTTTATGGGAATTTTAGGAGGGATTTCGGGAAATTTAGGGAGAATTTTAGGGAATTTTAGGGCAGATTTTGGGAAATTTATGGGGAATTTTAGGGGTTTTGGGGGAATTTTATTGAATTTGGGGTGAATTTTAAGAGCTTTGGGGGAAATTTTGGGGTAATTCGGGGGATTTGGGGGGATTTTGGGGGGATTTTGGATGTCTCGGGGGTGGGTTTGGGGCTCTTGGGTTTTTTGGGGGGCTCCGAGGGCCTTGAGGGTTTTTAGGGGGGGGCTATGAAGGGATTTGGGGGAATTTGGGGGATTTTGGGGGGTCCTGGGGGGATTTTGGGGGGTCTTGGGGTTTTGAGGGCATTTTGGGGGGGTCTTGGGGGGATTTTGGGGGTCCCAGGGGGTCCTGAATGGATTTTGGGGTCTCTGAGAGTTTTGGGGAGGGGTCCCATTGAATTTTGGGGGGTCTCAGGGGGGGTCTTGAATGGATTTTGGGGTCCCATTGAATTTTGGGGGTCTCAGGAGGGGTTTTGGGGGTCCCATTGAATTTTGGGGGTCTCTTGAGGGGGATTTTGGGGGTCTCTGGGGGGTCCTGAATGGATTTTGGGGTCTCATTGAATATTGGGGAGGGATCCCATTGAATTTTGGGGGGTCTCAGGGGGGTCTTGAATGGATTTTGGGGTCTCAGAGAATTTTGGGGAGGGGTCTCATTGAATTTTGGGGTCTCAGGATTGAATTTTGGGGGTCTTGGGGGGGATTTTGGGGGTCCTTGGAGGGGTCTCATTGAATTTTGGGGGGTTTCGGGACGGGGGTGTCGATGGATTTTGGGGTCTCAGGATTGAATTTTGGGGGTCTTGGGGGGAATTTTGGGATTTCTGAATTTTGGGGAGGGGTCTCATTGAATTTTGGGGGTCTCAGCCCCCCCCAATCCACCTCAGGGCTCAAAACCCTGAACCCCCCCCCCAAATCTCTTCCAGGCCCCCCCTGATCTCACCGTGGGACCCCTCCCCAATTTCGGGGACCCCTCCCCAGTTTTGGGGACCCCCTCCAGTTTCGGGGACCCCTCCCCAGTTTTGGGGACCCCCCCACCAGTTTCGGGGACCCCCCCCCAATTTCGGGGATCCCTCCCCAGTTTTGGGGACCCTTCCCAATTTTGGGGACCCCCCCAATTTTGGGGACCACCCCCCAATGGCGGCCGAGCTGGACAATGTGGAGGCCGCCCCTCCCCCCAACAACAACAACGGCCCCTGGGACCCCCCCCCGGACCCCCGGGCCTGGGGGGACCCCAAAATCTTCGAGTGCTCCCGGATCAAGGCCTTGGCTGGTGAGTGGAGACCCCTCCCCAAAAATCAAAAACTAAAAACCCCAAAAAAATCAAAATATTCCCCAAAAAATTTACAGATTATTCCCCCAAAAAAAACCCAAAAAATCAAAATATTCCCTAAAAATTCCCAGATTCACTCCTCCAAAACAACCCCAAAAAAATCAAAATATTCCCCAAAAAATTTACAGATTATTCCCCCCAAAAAAAACCCCAAAAAATCAAAATAGTCCCCCAAAAATTCCCAGATTCTCCCATTAAAAAAATACCAAAAAGCATTTGAATACCCCCCAAAAAATCAAAGTATTCCTCCAAAAAATTGACAGGTTCACCCCTCAAAAAATCCCCAAAAATGCTGGATCACCCCCCAAAAAAATCAAAATATTCCCTAAAAAAATTAATGGATCCTCCCTCCAAAAAAAAAACCCAAAAAATCAAAATATTTCCTCCCAAAATTTACAGATTCACCCCTCAAAAAACCCCCAAAAATGCTGGATCACCCCCTAAAAAATTCAAAATATTTCCTAAAAAAATTCCCAGATCACCCCCAAAAAACCCCAAAAAAACTTCTCAACCCCCCCCAAAAAACCCCAAAACCCCCCAAAAAAACCCCAAGAAAACCCCAAAAATCTTCTTAACCCTCCCCCAAAAAATCCAAAACCTCCAAACACACCCAAAAAAACCCCAAAAATCTTCTCAACCATCCCAAAAAAAAAACCAAAATCCACCAAAAAACCTCCAAAAATCCAAAAAACCTCCCAAAAAAACTTCTCAACCATCCCCAAAAAAACCCAAAAAACCCGCAAAAAACCCCAAAAACCCCCCCAAAAAAAACCCTGAACCTTTTTTGGGGTGTCCTGAGTTCCACAGAGGGGTCTCAGGATGGTTTTGGGGTGGATTTGGATGGATTTAGGATGACTTTGATGTCCTCCAGATGATCAGGACATGGTGCAGAAGAAGACCTTCACCAGGTGGATGAACGCCCACCTGGAGGTTCCTGAGTCCCATGGGGGTCTCAGGGTGGATTTGGGGTCTCAGGATGGTTTTGGGTGAATTTGGGTGGATTTTGGGGTGACTTTGGGTGGTTTTGGGGTGACTTTGGTGCCCCCCAGATGATCAGGACCCACTGCAGAAGAAGACCTTGACCAGGTGGGTGAACGCCCACCTGGAGGCTCCTGAGTCCCATGGGGATCTCAAGATGGTTTTGGGGTGAATTTGGCTGGATTTGGGGTGGATTTGGGGTGACCTCGATGTCCCCCCAGATGATCAGGACATGGTGCAGAAGAAGACCTTCATTAAGTGGTTGAACGCCCACCTGGAGACTCCTGAGTCCCATGGGGATCTCAAGATGGTTTTGGGGTCTCAGCGTGGTTTTGGGGTGGATTTCGGGTGGATTTTGGGGTGAATTTGGGTGGTTTTGGGGTGACTTTGGTGCCCCCCAGACGAGCGGGACGCGGTGCAGAAGAAGACCTTCACCAAGTGGGTGAACGCCCACCTGGAGGCTCCTGAGTCCCATGGGGATCTCAGGGTGGATTTGGGGTCTCAGGGTGATTTTGGGGGTCGCAGGATGGTTTTGGGGTGAATTTGGGTGGATTTTGGGTGGATTTGGGGTGACTTTGGTGCCCCCCAGATTATCAGGACCCACTGCAGAAGAAGACCTTCACCAGGTGGATGAACGCCCACCTGGAGGCTCCTGAGTCCCATGGGGGGTCTCAGGATGGATTTGGGGTCTCAGGGTGATTTTGGGGTCTCAGGATGGTTTGGGATGAATTTGGATGGATTTTGGATGGATTTGGGTGGTTTTGGGGTGACCTTGATGTCCCCCAGATGATCAGAACCCATTGCAGAAGAAGACCTTCATTAGGTGGATGAACGCCCACCTGGAGGCTCCTGAGTCCCATGGGGATTACAAGATGGTTTTGGGGTGGATTTCGGGTGGATTTTGGGGTGAATTTGGGTGGTTTTGGGGTGACTTTGGTGCCCCCCAGACGAGCGGGACGCGGTGCAGAAGAAGACCTTCACCAAGTGGGTGAACGCCCACCTGGCCCGCGCCGCCTGCCGCGTCGGGGACCTCTACTCGGACCTGCGCGACGGCTTCGTGCTCACGCGGCTGCTGGAGGTGCTGTCGGGGGAGACCCTGGTGAGGAGACACGCGCGGCGTCTTCATCATCGTCGTCGTCGTCATCGTCGTCATCATCATCGTCATCATCGTCATCATCGTCATCATCGTCATCATCATCGTCATCATCGTCATCATCATCGTCATCATCGTCGTCGTTGTCATCTTCTGCTGTCAGCATTGCCATGAGCGGTGGCATCGTCATCATCATTCTCTATCACCTTCATCATCATCGTCATCATCATCGTCATCATCATCATCACCATCATCATTGTGATGAGTGGCACCATCATCATTGTCCATCATCATCATCATGGTCCATCATCATCATTGTCCATCATCATTATCATCATCATCGTCATCAATGGCATGAGTAGCGTCCTCACTGTCATCATCGTCATCATCATCATCATCGTCATTCTCCTCTGCCATCATCATCATCATCTTCATCATCATCTCCATGAGCATCATCATGAGTGTTGTTATCATCATCACCACCAGCATTGGCATCGTCATCATCATCATCATCATCATCATCATCTCCATGACCGTCATTATGAGAATCATCATCATCTACCATCATCATCATCATCATCATCATCATCGTCTCCATGACCGTCATTATGAGGATCGTCATCATCATCTACCATCATCATCATCATCATCATCGTGGTGATTGTCACCATCGCCGTGAGCAGCATCATCGTCTTCATGAGCATCCTGACCACTACCACCACCATCGTCATCATCACCACCAGCATTGGCATCGTCATCATCATCATCATCATCATCATCATCATCATCTCCATGACCGTCATTATGAGGATCGTCGTCATCTCCATGACTGTCATCATCATCATCATCATCTACCATCATGATCACCATCATCATCATCTCCATTGTCTCCATCGCCGAGAGCAGCATCATCGTCTTCATGAGCGTCATGACCACTACCACCACCATCGTCATCATCACCACCAGCATTGGCATCATCATCGTCATCTCCATGACCGTCATTATGAGGATCATCATCATCATCTACCATCACCATCATCATCATCATCATCATCATGGTGATTGTCTACCATCACCATCATCATCTCCATGACCATCATTATGAGGATCATCATCATCTACCACCATCATCATCATCATCATCTCCATGACCGTCATTATGAGGATCATCATCATCTCCATGACTGTCATCACCACCACCATCACCACCATCATCAGCAGCATTGCCATGAGCAGCACCCCCAGTTTGGGTGGAACTGGGACCTCCCCACCACCATCACCACGAGGTGGGACCTCCCCACCACCCCCAGCTCCCACCATCCCCAGTTTGGGTGGAACTGGGACCTCTCCATCACCATCACAAGGTGGGACTTCTCCACCACCCCCAGCTCCCACCATCCCCAGTTTGGGTGGAACTGGGACCTCCCCACCACCACCACCATGATGAGCTGGGACCTCCCCACCACCCCCAGCTCCCACCATCCCCAGTTTGGGTGGAACTGGGACCTCTCCATCACCATCACAAGGTGGGACTTCTCCACCATCTCCAGCTCCCACCATCACCAGTTTGGGTGGAACTGCGACCTCTCCATCACCACCATGATGAGCTGGGACCTCACCACCACCACCACCATGATGAACTGGGACCTCCCCACCACCCTCAGCTCCACCATCCCCAGTTTGGGTGGAACTGGGACCTCTCCACCACCCCCAGCTCCCACCATCCCCAGTCTGGGGCCGGTTCTGGTGGGATGGGGTGGGGTGGGGTGGCAGGACCGTGTCCAGGCTGGATGTCCCCCCCTGTGTCCGCCCAGCCCAAGCCGACGCGGGGCCGGATGCGCATCCACTCCCTGGAGAACGTGGACAAGGCCCTGCAGTTCCTCAAGGAGCAGCGCGTCCACCTGGAGAACGTCGGCTCGCACGACATCGTGGACGGCAACCACCGCCTGACCCTGGGCCTCATCTGGACCATCATCCTGCGCTTCCAGGTGCCACCGGGCTCCTCCCCGTGTCCCGCCCTGCTCCTCCTGCCGCTCCTCCAGCTCCAGGTGTCTCCTGACCGTTCCTCCCCCAGATCCAGGTGATCAAGATCAAGACCGAGGACAACCGCGAGACGCGCTCGGCCAAGGACGCGCTGCTGCTCTGGTGCCAGATGAAGACGGCGGGGTGAGGAGCTCGGGCGGTGGCGCGGACCTCCCCGGGAGGTCCGGTGGCCCCCGGTGACCTCCGACGTCCTCCGCAGCTACCCCGAGGTCAACATCCAGAACTTCACCACCAGCTGGAGGGACGGCCTGGCCTTCAACGCCCTCATCCACCGGCACCGGTCAGTGCCGGCGGGGCGGGCGCGGGAGGGACCTCCCGGGCTTCGGGGTCACCTCTGAGGGTTCTTGGGGGGCGAGGAGGTCCCGAGGTGACCGTGCCCACCCCGCCCCAGGCCGGACCTCATCGACTTCCACAAGCTGACCAAGTCCAACGCCACCTACAACCTCCAGCAGGCCTTCAACACGGCCGAGCAGCACCTGGGGCTCAGCAAGCTGCTGGACCCCGAGGGTACGGGCGGGGTCTGTCCGTCCGTCTGTCCATCCGTCCATCTGTCCATCCGTCTGTCCATCTGTGCATCCGTCTGTCCATCCGTCCATCTGTCCATCCGTCCGTCCATCCATCTGTCCATCCATCCATCTGTCCATCTGTCCGTCTGTCCATCCGTCCATCTGTCCATCCGTCCATCTGTCCATCCATCTGTCCATCCGTCTGTCCATCTGTCCATCCGTCCATCCGTCTGTCCATCTGTCTGTCCATCTGTCCATCCGTCTGTCCATCCGTCCGTCCGTCCATCCATCTGTCCATCCGTCTGTCCATCCGTCTGTCCATCTGTCCATCTGTCCATCCGTCCATCCGTCTGTCCATCTGTCTGTCCATCCGTCCATCCGTCTGTCCATCCGTCCGTCCGTCCATCCATCTGTCCATCCATCTGTCCATCCGTCTGTCCATCTGTCCACGCGTGGTGGGGTCATCTCCACCATCCAGGTTTTCCATCTCCACGCTCGTTTTTTGGGAGTGAGGTGGTTTCTTCTGGGAACGGTCGAGGTTGATGGATCAGCCCAGCGTTGGTGGGACCATCCCTGGTGGTCCTGGCGTGGAGGTTTGGGGGGTCCTGACCTTCTGCTCCCCACCCCCCCCCACCAGATGTCAACATGGAGGACCCCGATGAGAAGTCCATCATCACCTACGTGGTGTCCTTCTACCACTACTTCTCCAAGATGAAGGCACTGGCGGTGGAGGGGAAGCGCATCGGGAAGGTGGGGCTGGACCCAGGTCCTGGAGGTCTCCATGAGCAGCTCCGTGGGGTGGCCACCCCATTGGCCATGGGTGTCCATCCCTTTGTCCATCCCTTCTCCATCCCTTTGTCCATCCCTTCTCCATCTCTTCTCCATTCCTTGTCCATCCCTTGTCCACCCTCTGTCCATCCCTCTGTCCATCCCTTGTCCATCCCTCTGTCCATCCCTTGTCCATCCTTTGTCCATCCCTTTGTCCATCCCTTGGTCCACCCCATTGTCCATCCCTCTGTCCATCCCTTCTCCATCCCTTGTCCACCCTCTGTCCATCCCTTCTTCATCCCATTGTCCATCCCTTCTCCATCCTTCTGTCCATCCCTCTGTCCATCCCTCTGTCCATCCCTCTGTCCATCCCTTGTCCATCTTTTGTCCGTCCCTTGTCCTTCCCTTGTCCATCCCTTGTCCATCCTTTTTCCATCCCTTTGTCCATCCCTTGGTCCACCCCATTGTCCATCCCTCTGTCCATCCCTTCTCCATCCCTTGTCCATCCCTTGTCTATCTTTTGTCCATCCCTTCTCCATCCCTTCTCCATCCCTTTGTCCATCCCTTTGTCCATCCCTTGTCCACCCTCTGTCCATCCCTTGTTCATCCCATTGTCCATCCCTTCTCCATCCTTCTGTCCATCCCTTGTCCATCCTTCTGTCCATCCCTGTCTACCCCTCTGTCCATCCCTTATCCATCCTTTGTCCATCCCTTGTCCATCCCTCTGTCCATCCCTTGTCCATCCCTTGTCCATCCCTTGTCCATCCTTCTGTCCATCCCTTGTCCATCCCTTGTCCATCCCTTGTCCATCACTCTGTCCATCCCTCTGTCCATCCCTCTGTCCATCCCTTGTCCATCCCTCTGTCCATCCCTTGGTCCATCCCATTGTCCATCCCTTGTCCATCCTTTGTCCATCCCTCCGTCCATCCCTTGTCCATCCCTTGTCCATCCCTTGGTCCATCCCATTGTCCACCCACCTCCCTGGCCTGGCCGGACCCTGGTGTGACCCCTCCAGCCCCGGGTGGTTCTCGGGGGGTTCCTGCAGGACCTCCAAGCCCATCCCGAACCCCACCAGGTGCTGGACCAGGTGATGGAGATCGCGGCCATCACGGCGCGCTACGAGGCGCTGGCGGCCGAGCTGCTGGCCTGGATCCACCACACCATCACCATCATCTCCAACCAGAAGTTCGCCAACTCGCTGACCGGCGTCCAGCAGCAGCTCCAGGCCTTCACCGCCTTCTGCACCCTGGAGAAACCGGTCAAGTGAGGACCTCCTGCTGGGCTGCTGGTGGGGTGGGACCTCAGCCTGGTGGTGGTGGTGGGCAGGTCGCAGGTCAACCCAAAATGGTGGCAGTGGGACATGGATGGTGGTGGTGGTGGTCACGGTCATAGTGGTGGTGGGCAGGTCGCAGGTCAACCCAAAATGGTGGTGATTGGACATGGATGGTGGTGGTGGTGGTCATGGTCATAGTGGTGGTGGAGAGGTCTCAGTTCGGCCCAAACTGGTGGCAGTGGGACCCGGGGGTGATGGTGGTGGTCATGGTCATGGTGGTGGTGGAGAGGTCTCAGTTCAACCCAAACTGGTGGCAATGGGACATGGGTGGTGGTGGTCATGGTCATGGTGGTGGTGGAGAGGTCCCTGTTCAACTCAAACTGGTGGTGGATGTGACCTGAGGGGTGGTGGGGATGATGGTGGGGAGGTCCCACCTGAAGGTGGTGTTGATGGGGAGGTCCCAGTTCAGCCCAAACTGGTGGCAGTGGGACCTGGGGGTGGTGGTCATGGTCATGGTGGTGGTAGGCAGGTCTCAGGTCAACCCAAACTGGTGGCAGTGGGACATGGAAGTGGTGGTGATGGTGGTGGTGGAGAGGTTCCACCTCAAGGTGGTGATCATGGGGAGGTCACTTCAGCCCAAACTGGCCATGGATGGTCCAGGGGGTGGTGATGTCCCATCTCGTGGTGGTGGTGATGAGGAGGTCCCACTTCACCCAGACTGGTGGTGGTGGAACCTGGAGCATGGTGGTGATGAGAAGGTCCCACTTCACCCAGACTGGTGGTGGTGGAACCTGGAGCATGGTGGTGATGAGAAGGTCCCACTTCACCCAGACTGGTGGCCATGGACCCTGGCTCACGGTGGTGACGCCCCAGCCCGCGCTGGCCGTGACCGGGACCTCCCCACCGGTGCCACCCCGCAGGTTCCAGGAGAAGGGCAACCTCGAGGTCCTGCTCTTCACCATCCAGAGCAAGCTCCGGGCCACCAACCGCAAGCTCTACGTGCCCAGCGAGGGCAAGAGCATCTCGGACATCAACAAGGTGAGGACGTGCGCACGGAGTCCCACCACCCGGGCGGGGGTCGGGGAGCCCCGTGAGCAGCCGTGTCCCCTCCCGCCAGGCGTGGACCTGCCTGGAGAAGGCGGAGCACGAGCGGGAGGTGGCCCTGAGGAACGAGCTGATCCGGCAGGAGAAGCTGGAGCTGCTGGCCCAGCGCTTCGACCACAAGGCCGCCATGAGGGAGACGTGGCTCAACGAGAACCAGCGCCTGGTCTCGCAGGTGGGGTGGGGTGGGAAGGGTCATGGGGGACCTTCGGCGCGGGGTGGGACAATCCCTGGGTGGGACGGGGGTGAGGAGAGCAGTGTTGGGTGGTGGGACCTCATTATGGGTGGTGGGAACTCATTATGCATGGTGGGACCTCATTGGGATCCTCCTTGAGCAAGGGAGGGGTGGTTGGACATCTTTGATCTCCTCCTTGAGCATGGAGAGGGGGTTGGACCTCCTTGATTATGCTGGACTGGTGGGACCTCCTTGACCATGAAGGGCTGATGGAACCTCCTCAACCTCCTCCTTGACCGCTGAGGACCCCACCTCACCCCACCCGTGCCCATCTCCACGTCCCCCTCCAGGACAACTTCGGCTACGACCTGCCGGCGGTGGAGGCGGCCATGAAGAAGCACGAGGCCATCGAGGCCGACATCTCCTCGTACCAGGAGCGCGTGCAGGTGGTGGTGGAGCTGGCGCTGGAGATGGAGGCCGAGGGCTACCACGACGCGCGGCGCATCGGCGCCCAGAGGGACAACGTCCTGCGGCAGTGGGCGCTGCTGACCGAGCTGCTGCGCGCCCGCCGCGCCCGCCTCGAGCAGAACCTGGCCCTGCAGAAGATCTTCCAGGAGATGGTCTACATGATCGACTGGATGGAGGAGATGCAGGTGGGGATGGGACCGCGGAGGAGACGGGGCGGCGCGGTGGGGTTCTGGGAAGGGTTGAGGAGCCTGAGAGGCTCCGTGGGGTTCATGGTTGGGGTTCTTCATGGGGTTGGGTGGTTGGGGTTGGATGGTCAAGGTTCTTCATGGGGTTCATGGTTCAGGTTCTTCATGGGGTTGCGTGGTTGAGGTTGGGTGGTTGAGGTTCTTCATGGGGTTCATGGTTGAGGTTGTTCATGGGGTTGGGAGGTTGGGGTTGGGTGATTGAGGTTCTTCATGGGGTTGGGTGATTGAGGTTCTTCATGGGGTTGGATGGTCAAGGTTCCTCATGGGGTTGGGTGGTTGGGGTTGGGTGGTTGAGGTTCTTCATGGGGTTCATGATTGAGGTTCCTCATGGGGTTGGGTGGTTGAGGTTCTCCATGGGGTTCATGGTTGAGGTTCCTCACGGGGTTGGGTGGTTGAGGGTGACGCGGTTCGGTTCTTCTGCAGGTTCTCCTGGTCTCCAAGGACTTGGGGAAGCACCTGCTGGAGGTTGAGGACCTCCTGCAGAAGCACGGGCTGCTGGAGGCCGACATCGCGGCGCAGACCGAGCGCGTCCAGGCCCTCAACGCCGCCGCGCTCGAGTTCTCTGAGCTGGACGGTAACGGGGCCACCAGGGTGGACAACCAGGGCACGGGGAGGTGGTGGGCCTTGGGAAGGGTCTGATGGACCATGGGAGGGTCAACTATGGGCTTGATGGACCATGGGAGGGTCATGCAAGGTCTTGATGGACCATGGAAAGGTCGAGCAAGGTCTTGATGGACCATGGGAGGTTCAACCCATGATCTTGGTGGCCCATGGAAATGTTGACCCAAGGTTCTGGTAGATCATGGAAGGGTCAACCCAAGGTTTTGGTAGACCCTGGAATGTTCATCACAAGGTCCTGGTGGACCCTGGAACAATCAACCCAAGGTCCTGGTGGGCCATGGAATGGTCAACCCAAGGTCTTGGTGGGCCATGGAATGGTCAATTCAAAGTGCTTGTGGGCCATGGAATGGTCAACTCAAGGTCCTGGTGGACCCTGGAATGGTCAACTCAAGGTCCTGGTGGACCCTGGAACGGTCAACCCAAGGTCCTGGTGGACCCTGGAATGGTCATCCCAAGGTCCTGGTGGACCCTGGAACGGTCAACCCAAGGTCCTGGTGGGCCACCTACCAGAGTCCCCACAGAACCCCTGGGGTTGGAAGAACCCTCTGAGATCTTTGAGTCCAGCCCAGGACCGGAGCCCGGAGCGTCGTGTCCGGTCCTTCCTTGGCCGCCTCCGTGCCCGGTGACCCTTGGCCACCTCCCGCCACCGCCTGAGCGTCTTCTCCTCGCCCAGGCTACCAACCGTGCGACCCGCAGATCATCTGCAACCGCGTCCACCACGTCCAGACGTGCCTGGAGGAGCTGCAGGAGCTGGCGGCCAAGCGCCGCAAGGAGCTGGAGGACTCGCGGCAGCTCTGGACCTTCTTCCAGGAGATGGAGGAGGCCGAGGCCTGGATCCGCGAGAAGGAGAAGATCCTGGCCACCAGGAGCTGCGGCCGCGACCTCAGCTCCGTCCTCACCCTGACCACCAAGCACAAGACCATGCTGGGCGAGCTGGGCAACCGCCGCGCCCTGCTCCACCAGACCATGAAGAAAGGCGAGAAGATCCTGGCCAAGAAGTCCTTCGGCCCCGCGGGCATCCAGGAGAAGATGCGGGAGGTCTGCCTGAGGTGGAAGAAGCTGGAGGAGATCACGGGGCTCCACCAGCAGCGCCTGGAGGACGCGCTGAGCTTCTTCCAGTTCAGCGCCGACACGGACGACCTGGTGGCCTGGCTGCAGGACATCTACCGCATCGTGTCCAGCGACGACTTCGGCCACGACGACCACTCCAGCCGGGCGCTGCTGCGCAAGCACCGCGCCGTGCTGGACGAGGTGGAGAAGCACCGCGGCGCCGTGGTGGGCCTCCGTAAGCAGCTGGCGCTGCTGGCGCCCGACCGCCGGCAGGGCGTGGACATCCAGATCCGCGTGGTGGAGGTGGAGCAGCTCTACGGCGAGGTGGCCGAGGTGGCCGTGCTGAGGACGCAGTGGCTGCGGGACGCGCTGGCCGTGTACCGCATGTTCAGCGAGGTGCACGCCTGCGAGGTGTGGGTGGACGAGAAGGAGCAGTGGCTGGAGAAGATGGAGGTGCCCGAGGAGCTGGATGAGGTCGAGGTGGTGCAGCACAGGTGGGTGGTGGAGGTTCTCCATGGGGTTGGGAAGTTGGGGTTGGGTGGTTGAGGTTCTTCATGAGGTTGAGGTTCTTCATGGGGTTCATGGTTGAGGTTCTTCATGGGGTTCATGGTTGAGGTTCTTCATGGGGTTGGGTGGTTGGGGTTGGGTGGTCGGGGTTCTTCATGGGGTTCATGGTTGAGGTTCTTCATGGGGTTGGGTGGTTGAGGTTCTTCATGGGGTTGGAGAAGATGGAGGTGCCCGAGGAGCTGGATGAGGTCAAGGTGGTGCAGCACAGGTGGGTGGTGGAGGTTCTTCATGGGGTTGGGAAGTTGGGGTTGGGTGGTTGAGGTTCTTCATGGGGTTGGGTGGCTGGGGTTGGATGGTTGAGGTTCTTCATGGGGTTGGGTGGTCGAGGTTCTTCATGGGGTTGGAGAAGATGGAGGTTCCTGAGGAGCTGGATGAGGTCGAGGTGGTGCAGCACAGGTGGGGTGGGGTGTGATGGTTGAGGTTCTTCATGGGATTGGGTGGTTGAGGTTCTTCATGGGGTTGAGGTTCTTCATGGGGTTGATGGTTGAGGTTCTTCATGGGGTTGGAGAAGATGGAGGTACCTGAGGAGCTAAATGAGGTTGAGGTGGTGCAGCACAGGTGGGTGGCGGAGGTTCTTCATGGGGTTGGGTGGTTGGGGTTGGATGGTCGGGGTTCTTCATGGGGTTGGGAGGTTGAGGTTCCTCATGGGGTTGAGGTTCTTCATGGGGTTCATGGTTGAGGTTCTTCATGGACGGTTGAGGTTCTTCACGGGGTTGGATGGTTGAGGTTCTTCATGGGGTTGGGTGGTTGAGGTTCTTCATGGAGTTGAGGTTCTTCATGGGGTTGGGTGGTTGGGGTTGGATGGTTCAGGTTCTTCATGGGGTTGGAGAAGATGGAGATGCCTGAGGAGCTGGATGAGGTCGAGGTGGTGGAGCACAGGTGGGGTTGGGTAGTCGGGGTTGGGTGGTTGAGGTTCTCCATGGGGTTGGGTGGTTGGGGTTGGGTGGTCGAGGTTCTCCATGGGGTTGGGTGGTCGAGGTTCCTCGTGCCCGTGTTGGACCTGCCCGTGTCCTCCTGCCCAGGTTTGAGAGCCTGGACCAGGAGATGAACAGCGTCATGGGGCGCATCCTGGACGTCAACCAGGTGGTGCAGCAGCTGGTGGATGGTGGCCACCCCAGCTCGGACGAGGTCCGGTCCTGCCAGGACCACCTCAACAGCCGGTACGGGCCTGGGGGGGACACGAGGTGGACCTTGACCTGCTTGGGGTCTCCATGGTGAGGTTGGAGACTCTCAACCTGTGGTTCTCCGGTGGTGGGATGTCCCTGTGGGGTCCAGGTGTCCATTGGAATGGTCCAAGCCCATCCTGGGGGTCCTGAAATGATCTCAACCTTGAGGTCTCCTTGGTGGGGACAGCTTTGTGTGACCCCCAGCCTGTGGTTCTCCAGTGGTGGGACGTCCCCATGGGTTCCACCTCACCAGGACAATGGTCCAAGCCCATCCTGGGGTCCTGAAGTGATCTCAAGGTTCTTGAGGTCTCCTTGGTGGGAGGAGTTTTGTGTGACCTCCAGCCTGCGGTTCTCCAGTGGTGGGACATCCCCATGGGTTCCACCTCTCCAGGCCACCATTCCCAGCCCATCCCAAGGGTCCTGAAATGATCTCAACCTTCTTGAGGTCTCCTTGGTGGGGACAACTTTGTGTGACCCCCAACCTGTGGTTCTCTGGTGGTGGGACATCCCCATGGGTTCCACCTCACCAGGACAATGGTCCAAGCCCATCCTGGGGGTCCTGAAGTGATCTCAAGGTTCTTGAGGTCCCCATGGGTTGCACCTCACCAGGACAATGGTCCAAGCCCATCCTGGAGGTCCTGAAGTGATCTCAAGGTTCTTGAGGTCTCCTTGGTGGGGAGAGCTTTGTGTAGGGCTGCCTGGAGACCCCAAACCTGAGGTTCTCCAGTGGTGGGACGTCCCCATGGGTTCCACCTCTCCAGGCCACCATTCCCAGCCCATCCCAAGGCTGCTCCTGATCCTGGTGGGCCCCGTCCCAGCTCAGGGAAGGTCTCACCCCTCTCCCGCCCCCGTCTCCAGCTGGAACCGCGTGGTGGAGCTGGTGGAGACCAAGAAGAGCCAGCTGAGCTCGGTGCTGAAGATCCAGAACTTCCTGCTGGAGTGCGCCGAGATGAAGGCGCAGCTGCGCGACAAGACGAGGTCCATCGAGGCCACCCGCTCCGGCGGCGGCGGCGGCGGCGGCGACCCGGGCGGGGTGGTGGCCCTGCAGCGCCGCCTGTCCACCATGGAGGCCGCGCTGGTGGCCCTGGAGCCGCGGCTGGCCGAGCTGCAGCGCGAGGCCGAGGGCCTGGCCCGCGCCCACCCCGCGCGCGCCCTGGACGTCCTGCTGCCCTTCGAGGAGATCGGCCGCGAGTGGGACGAGCTGCAGAGGACCTTCCGCGGCTGCGAGGACACCCTGACGGTGGCCGGGCGCCTCCAGCAGTTCATCCAGGACCTGGACGACTTCTTGGCCTGGCTGGTGAAGACCCAGGCGGCCGCGGGCTCGCGGGAGGCCCCCGAGAGCTTGGCCGAGGCCGAGGAGCTGCTGAACGTCCACGTGGCCCTCAAGGAGGAGATCAACGGGCGCGAGGAGGACTACGCCAAGCTGCAGGCGGCCAGCGAGCTGCTGCTGGCCCTGGAGGACCACGTGGACGTGCCCCACGTGTCCCTGCAGCGGTGGCTGCAGAAGCTGGACGCCGGCTGGGGGAAGCTCCTGCAGAGCTGGGACGCCAGGAGGGAGCTCCTGGCGCAGGCCCACGTCCTCCACCTGTTCCTGAGGGACGTGGCGCAGTGCCAGGGCAGCCTCCGCAACCAGGTGGGCGCGGTGGTGGGGTGGGTGGGAGGAGGTCTGGGAGGTGGAGATGATGGATGGGTGATGGGTGGCAGAAGGTCTGGGAGGTGGACGTGGTGGTGGGATGGGATGGGAGAAGGTCTGGGAGGTGGACGTGGTGGTGGTGGGATGGGCTGGGTGGAGAACATGGTGGTGGACATGGTGGGTGGGAGGAGGTCTGGGAGGTGGAGATGATGGATAGGTGATGGTTGGGAGAAGGTCTGGGAGGTGGAGATGGTGGTGGGATGGGATGGGAGAAGGTCTGCCAGGTGGATGTGGTGGTGGTGGGATGGGATGGGATGGGATGGGATGGGAGAAGGTCTGGGAGGTGGATGTGGTGGTGGGATGGGAGAAGGTCTTGGTTGGTGGAGATGATGGATAGATGATGGGTGGGAGAAGGTCTGGGAGGTGGACGTGGTGGTGGGATGGGCTGGGAGAAAGTCTGAGGTGGTGGACATGGTGGTGGGATGATTGGGAGAAGGTCTTGGTTGGTGGAGATGATGGATAGGTGATGGGTGGGAGAAGGTCTGCCAGGTGGACATCGTGGTGGGATGGGTGGGAGGAGGTCTAGGGTGGTGGAGATGATGGATGGGTGATGGAGACAATGGGTGGGAGAAGGTCCTGGTCAATGGAGATGGTGGATGGGTGATGGAGACAATGGGTGGGAGAAGGTCCTGGTCAATGGAGATGGTGGATGGGTGATGGAGACAATGGGTGGGAGAAGGTCCTGGTCAATGGAGATGGTGGATGGGTGATGGAGACAATGGGTGGGAGAAGGTCCTGGATGATGGAGATGGGTGGAAGAAGATTTTGGGTGGTGGGAATGGTTTGTAGAAGGTCTTGAGTGATGGAATTGGGTGGCACCAGCCCCTGGTGGGTGGACTTGGGTGGCACCAGCCCCTGGTGGATCTCCTGTGGCTTTGAGGACCCCACGGCCAGGTCCCATCTCCCCAACCCCACCAAACCCCCCCAGGAGACCGCGCTGGCCCACGCCGAGCTGCCCGACACGGTGGAAGGGGTGACCAAGGCGCTGAAGAAGCACAAGGACTTCACCACCACGCTGGAGCTGAACCTGCAGAAGGTCCAGCTGGTCCTGCAGGCCGGCGAGAGCCTCCAGCGCCAGGGCCACCTCCACAGCGACCGCGTGGCCCAGGCCGTGGAGGAGCTGCGCGACAGGTGGGGACCACCAGGAGACACCCGGGCCACCAGGAGCACCCTGGGGCCACCAGGAGCTCCCAGGAGCCCCAAAACTCCTTTTAGCTCCTCAGAACTCCACCCAGGAACCCAAAATTCCACCCAGGAACCCAAAATTCCGCCCAGAACTCCAAAAACTTCACCCAGAACTCATCAAAACCACCCAGAACCTCAAAACTCCACCCAGGACCCCCAGAACTCCACCCAGGAACCCCAAAACTCCACCCAGGAACCCAAAACATCTCCCAGGACCTCAAAACTCCACCCAGGACCCCAAAACTCCACCCAGGAACCCAAAATTCCACCCAGGAACCCCAAAACTCCATCCAGGACCCCAAAACTCCGCCCAGAACTCCAAAACTTCACCCAGAACTCATCAAAACCACCCAGAACCTTAAAACTCCACCCAGAACCCCCAAAACTCTACTCAAGAACCCAAAACCCCACCCAGGACCCCAAAATTTCATCCAGGAACCCAAAACTCCACCCAGGAACCCAAAAATTCCATCCAGGAACCCAAAATTCCACCCAGAACCCCAAAATTCCACCCAGGAACCCCAAAACACCTCCCAGAACCCCAAAACTCCACCCAGGACCCCAAAATTTGACCCAGAACCCCAAAACTCCACCCAGGAACCCAAAATTCCACCCAGAACCCCAAAACTCCACCCAGGACCCCAAAACTCCACCCAGGACCACAAAATTCCATCCAGGAACCCGAAATTCCACCCAGAACCCCAAAATTACACCCAGGAACCCCAAAACACCTCCCAGGAACCCCAAAACTCCACTCAGGACCCCAAAATTTGACCCAGAACCCCAAAACTCTCCACCCAGGAACCCAAAACTCCACCCAGGAACCCAAAAATTCCAACCAGGAACCCAAAACTCCATCCAGGAACCCCAGAACTCCACCTAGAACCCCAAAACTCCACCCAGGAACCCAAAACTCCACCCAGAACCCCAAAACATCTCCCAGAACCCCAAAACTCCGCCCAGGAACCCAAAATTTGACCCAGGACCCCAAAACTCCCCCCAGGCCCCCCCAGGACCGAGGCCAGGGCTGGATTTGCTGGTGGAGCCCAGGTGGGACCTCCTCGTGCCTCAGTTTCCCCTCCTAGGGGAGGTTCAGGGGTTAATTAGCGGTTAATTAAGGGTTAATTAGGGGTTAATCAAAGGTTAATTAGGGGGTCCCGCCCCCCGCAGGAGCCAACGCAACCACCAGCTGGCCCAGGAGTGGACGCGGCGCCTCCAGGACCACCTGGAGCTCCAGAGGTTCCTCCAGGAGTGCCGAGAGGTCAGGCCCGGTCAGAGGAGACCCCTCCCCAAAATCTGAGACCCCCCAAAATCTGAGACTCCTCCCCAAAACCCGAGACCCCTCCCCAAAACCCTCCATGGTGGGCCTGGGTTCTCCTCCGGGTTCTCCTCCAGGTTCTCCTCCAGGTTCTCCTGGGGGTGGTCAGGCCCCGCTTGGTGTCACCTCCTGGTCCGTGGTGGGCTCCACCTCGGGTCACCGGTGGGGTTTGGGGTGGGGGAGACCCCAAAAATCTCCCGCAGAGTTGGGCCAGGGAGGTCTCCAAGACCTCACAGAGGCTCCTCAGCATCTCAGGAGGCTTCGGTGGTGGTGCGGTGGGACCTGCGTGGTCCATTCCAGGAGATCTGTCACCCCAGAGATGTCCCCCCATGGATTTGGGGTTGGGTTTGGGGGTCTCCAAGACCTTACAGAGGCTCCTCAGCATCTCAGGAGGCTTCGGTGGTGGTGCGGTGGGACCTGCCTGGTCCATCCCAGGAGATGGCTCAGCCCAAAAATGTCACCCCATGGATTTGGAGTTGGGTTTGGGGGTCTCCAAGACCCTCGGGGTTCCTCAAGATGTTCCTCAGCATCTCAGGAGGCTTTGGTGGTGGTGGGGTGGGACCTGCCTGGTCCATCCCAGGAGATCTGTCACCCCAGAGATTTGGGGTGAATTTGGGGGATTTTAGGTGGATTTAGGGGTGATTTTGGGGTGATTTTTGGGATGGATTTTGGGGCAATTTTGGGGTGAATTCGGGGTGGATTTGGGGTCAATTTTGGGGTGGATTTGGGGTCAATTTTGGGGTGGATTTGGGGTGAATTTAGGGGGATTTGGGGTCAATTTGGGGTCAATTTTGGGGTAGACTTTGGGTGAATTTTGGGGTGAATTCGGGGTGGATTTGGGGTGAATTCGGGGATTTTGGGGTGGATTTTGGGTGGATTTGGGGTCAATTTTGGGGTGGGATTTGGGGTGAATTCGGGGTGAATTATTGGGGTGAATTTGGGGGATTTAGGGGTGGATTCTGGGTGGATTTGGGGGATTTTTGGGATGGATTTTGGGGTGAATTTGGGGGGATTTGCGGTGGATTTGGGGTCAATTTTAGGGTGGGATTTGGGATGAGTTTTGGGGTGAATTCGGGGGATTTAGGGGTGGATTTGGGGTGGGATTTGGGGTGAATTCGGGGT